TGCTTCTTAGTCGAGTGCATAAGAACAGCATGTGATGGGTTACAGTTGTCCTACCTGCAGGTTGTTAATTTCCAAAGCTGCTGCCATTCCACAACTTAAAGCCCTTTGCCTAAACCCCCCAAATTTTGCTGTGCAGGGGCCTGAATTGCCAGCCCACACGTACCAAGGCTCTGGCCACCAAAGCTATAAGATTGACTTACAGGTTCTAAGATCAGCTTAAAAATAATCAACTTTGGATTCTTTTTCTTTGTTTGCCAGATATCAGCTTCCAGAATGCTTTTGATTCCATATTTCTAAGCTTTGTGTTACAGTCAAAGAAAAGGAGGTAGGGCCATATTTTTATTATTATTATTATTTACAGTCAAAGAAAAGGGGGTAGGGCCATATTATTATTATTATTATTATTATTATTATTATCATTATCATTATTATTATTTGTTCCTTCTTTTGATGTTGAATAAAACCTTCTATTCTTCACACAATCTCTTGAACCCAGCAGCTGGGATTTTATGGAGAGAACACTGACAACTGCAAGATGTCCAATAAAATCATAACAGTTGGCAGCACTGGGGGGTTACTCTCCTCATTTCTTGCTGGTCCAATAGGACAAGATAATTGGTGTGGTCCAGCTGCTTCCTCTTTTTTAGACAGATCCTTCAATGCACATGTAATTGTTGGGGCTTGGAGTCCACAGACACCCTACAGAGGTACTTATGCTATAGGCCTGTTTGCTTAATTTTTAGGCTGATTACTGCGTCCTACAACAGGTAGAACAGATCTGATGGTGCAAATCCCTTAGTGAAGAAAAAATCCTGCCACGGTTGCTCTCTTGCTCCATGTCCTTCCGTAACCTACATGGCAACAAAAGTTCAGCCCTGTAACGTCCTTTAAAAGCTGGCCTTTAGGACAGCATGTCAGCCCCTTCTGGGGGCCTCATGCTTTGCACAGATCACCCTCATTAGCAAGGGAAAGTGGAATAAATGGAACAGGCTGCACTCCTGGCGTGATGGGTTTTTTTTTTTTTTTTGATTCCTCTTGGAAGTCCCCCTGATTCAAACGGATCCTTCCAAGCTGCCTAGTTCATGACCGCGGCAGATTATAAAAGGGCCAGGGATCCAGCATCCCTGCAGCTCATCACTGACAAGCAACTCTGTCTGGATGGAGTGTTTTCAATAAGGGATTCTTGCCTTGCTGGGAGCTTGCAGAGAAACTGTTTACAACAACAGCCCCACAATTACCTCCAAATGATGTCCTCGTAGGAGGATGTTCTGGAAACCTCGAGACCAAAGCTACTGAGCTGCTCTATCTATATCAGAAATGTGAAAGTAATCAGGAGTTGTTTGGATCTGGAGATGCTGTTGTTGTAAACAGATGTTGCATTAAAGCAGATCTTCCTGAGCAGTCAGAGCTGGGCCAGCTTGGAACGAGCACCCGGTCCATTCGGAAAAATGAGTGAGGTTTTCAGTTCAGTGCTCTCATGCATTGCATCAAATCTAATCCAGCTATCCCAAATGAGCTACGCCTGGGCACCAGAATAAGCAGATAAAGATTATTTATTTGTTTTGAAATAGTGATTATTTTTGTAATAACAAATTAACAGCTAAGCCTGATGGATGCTCACTAGGGGTCTGGGCACTGAGACACTCTACAAGAAAGCTGGAGGCAAATGCCTCTTTGTTTCATCCTTCATGCAGGATTTTTCTTATAAGGAGGGAAGAGAACAGGAAAAAATGATCTGTCCAGAAGACAAAGCACTGAAGAGAGCCCCCTCCTTCCAACCACAAGATCTTAGGGAAAGATTATAATTTCTTATTTGTTTCTCTTTCTTAGCCATCATATTTTTAAATCTTAAAAACACGCTTGGGTAATCATTTCAAGTTCTTTTCTGTGGTCATGAGTGACAGAAACTAATCCACGTGATCCAGAAAAGCTGGTTCTCCTTCAGCCTTGTGAGATTTCAGACAGTAGCTTGGGGGAGGAGGTCAGGAGGTGCCCCCAGAATAATAAGAGTTTTCATTGCTTCCATGGATGGAGAATGGAGTATTTGAGTTTCAAGAGTTCCACAAGCTGAGACACTGAGGAAGTCTCCAAGGCCACAGTCATCCTATCTAGAGGGTCACTGCCGTCAGCTCTTGAATTAGGAATCCCACTTAGAGAAATACAGGAGCTGTGCAATGTGATTCAGGCCATCTCTTTCCTCACTGAGGGATTCTGGGGCAACCCTGTGGCTGATGTGCTTACTTGTGTACAGGCTGCAAATTATGCCTGAATCTCCTCACTGATCTCTCTGTGCTTTGGTTCCCACCCCGTTCCTCTCTCTGGGTAGGATGAGGGATGTTTGGGACACAGCTTATCCCTCACGTGTGCTTTCAAGGAACATAGTTTGATTCTGTTTAGTGTAGTTGGATCTAATTCAGGGGGAATAAGTAGGGGAAAAAGGAAAGGCCAGAAGAAAAGGGAGAAAAAAAAAAAAAAAAAAAGAGAAAATAGGGGGAAGAAAGGAAGGAAAATGAAAAAAAGAGGGGAAAAGGGGGGGAAAAAAGAGGAGAGGAGAGGAGAGGAGAGGAGAGGAGAGGAGAGGAGAGGAGAGGAGAGGAGAGGAGAGGAGAGGAGAGGAGAGGAGAGGAGAGGAGAAGCACTGCCACCTCCTTGATGGAAGCTGGAGGAAGCTTTCCTCTGCCTGCAGCATTGATCTCACCAACCAGAAGAGATGCAGAGTTTTTCCATTGCTAGGGGAGAGACACAAACGTGATTCATGGGTCGGGACACTAAGGTGACTGTAAGGATACACTGCCGAATTAAAGGGGCTAAAGCAAGGGGACCAATGGGAGGGAGGCCACAGGCTGATGTAATGTCTGGGTAGCTCAAACCAGCTCCTCAATCTCTGTTATTAGGTAAAGACAGACAGTCCCCAGAGAACACACGAGCTCCTTTCCCCCTCTGCAGTCACGTTAGGGACATGCCCTTTGCACTCTCACCTAGGTGCTCCCAGCACACACGAGCATCCTCCAGCACTCCAGGTTTCTTCCTCCAGCAGCCGGAATAACACAACCACACAAAGCTCTCATTGTACAAACAGGTCCCCAAGCACCACAGCTCCAGCCCATAATAATATCTCTCCACCACCTTTTACTGGAGAGAGTATTTGATTGCAGTCAAGTACCCACACCTGGAGGAGGTAGGAGGGGGTAAGGGAGTGCAGACTGACAGCCTCCCCTGAGCTGGAGCAAGAAAGGAAAGGGGAGGAGGGATGGAGGGAGGGCTGAGTTTTGCAGTGTGATGAGTTGCAGCAAGAACCCCAGGCTGCTCTTTCCCTGCACACTTCAGCTGCTGACAAAAACAAACAAAAAAAAAAAACAACCAAAAAAGCAACCTTCTCCCCCCACATCAAACCTAAAGAAGCCAAGCAGGAATATAGAGGTTAAAAATGGCACTATATAGATCCATATAAATGTGGAAGGCCACACGTCCCAACAGAGCACCCCTAAACAAGCCAAGCAGGTCCACGAAGGTTAGAAATGGCCCTACGCAGAGCCATATAGATGTGCAAGGCCTGAACAAACAGTCAAATCAATGCAACAAATCACTCCTAAAAATGCCAACCAAGTCTACAGAGGTAAAAAAAAAAATGGAACTGCAAGACAGATGTGCTGACTCAGGGCCCAGGTGCTGAGGCTGTGTCCCATTGCTCTGCGCCGATGAAGTTCTTAGCACCTAGGTATGAACAGGTTATGTCAGCCTGGGAGGAGAGAACAGATCTAAATCTATATGCTGACCATACCTGGGTCCTGAGACAAAGTATGTCCATATGCAAAGAGATCCATATCCAAGGAGAACCATACCCAAGGAGCACCTGCCAGTGGCAGCTCCTTAACTCAGAGGAGAAAACTTGACAGCACAAATCTGGAAACCCTTTGTTACCATATGCATATGTCCCTTCTGTCCCACTGGGCTCTGCAGTGCCATGTCTGGATTAGGATGTGGGGACAGAGCCAAGACTGGAGAAGGCTGGTTGATGAGGTGAAGCAATGCCCGTGGTGGTAAGAGAGATTTAGTTGTGGTGTATGGGAGGAAAATGGGGGTCATAGAGAGGGGAGGTAGGTAAAAGTAGAGGTAGATAAAGACTGGTTTGAGGATGGTTGGGAGGGTAGAATCATAGAATGGTTTGGCTTGGAAGGGATCTCAAAGATCATCCAGTTTCATGTTGGGAGGTAAGGAGACGTAGTGTTGGATTCTTAATTTATGGGCTGAGGTTTGTAGATGAGCAATAAGCATAAGCAAATGAGCAGATTCAAGGCCCCTGCTGAGGAGGTGAGGGCTGGGGGGAAGTGATGTTTGGGGAGCAGACTGAAAACACAGGAAAAGAGGCCTGCTGAGCTTAGAAGTCTTCTTGCTGCTCGTGTCCTTGTTTGGAAATTCTGTGACTGAGGACTGATCCAAGCTGGGTAAAGTCAATGAGAATTACACCACAGAGAAACTTGGGTCAACAAGGAGGGCAGAATGAGGCTCAGGAAAGAAAACAGCAACAGGTGAGTTCTGCAGAAGGGTATTTCTGCTTGGAGCACGGATGCTGGCATTTGTTACAAAACACCAGAAACGAGATGAATTCCCCAAGCAGAGTTTATGGGAATGAGCTCTTCTTTTCTGGGGGTTTTATTTTGTTTTGCTCGAGTCCGTCTGTCACATCTTGAGCATTTCATTATTTAGGAATTTTTGATTTCAGAAGATAAAGTGGTCCCACAGGAATATTTTCAGGGAGATTATTTTAACAAGCACTTTTGTACCAGGAAATCAGTGAGTTTAACCTAACAAGCAACTACCAGGCCAGGGGGACAAATAAATCTAGTTCCCACCTATTAATTTTACAGCCTACATAAAGCAGTGTTGAAGTCAAAAGTATATGTGACCCAAAAAGACATTGCTCATTTTGACACATATATAGCTTGCCCCCTGCCTGAACCCTGTCCCTTAGCCTAAATCCAGGAAGTGGGCTCCCTTTTGTAACGGATCATAGGCCTGTGTGTCAAGAATGTGTTCTACCTTAAACCAAATGTCAGCCTTTCGTAGGGAAGGGATAAGCTGATAGAGATGCTCGTCCCGAACGGGGATAGTTTTCCTTGTTTTGCATTGTGAGACGTGTTTGTTTTATTGCACCACTCCGTGATTCAATCCAGCCAAGCCCACGCAGGAAATATTGGGATTTTGTCTTGCCAAGTTGACATCTGAAAAGAGCAAGCAGGCGAACGCTTCCACTTTAGGAGCATCTGTGGTGGTTAATGAACTATTAGGCACACAAAGAGAAAAAAATGCATCTCAGAGAAACAACTGCATCCCGTGGATGGCAGTGGCCTGGATAACAAGGAAACGTCGCCTGCTTTCATCTCTGTAGGGGAACACGGTGGCATGCAGTGGGAAAAAGAAAACAGAGCTTTCGGCACTCACATCAGTTAAAAATAAAGCACGGAGCCTAAATGAAGAGGGTGACTAACCAATGGAGTTAACGAGCAAGGAAAGCAATGGATTATCCACCACTTGAACTGCGGGCTGGACGTCTTTGTGTTGTCATCCAGCACGAGGCACTGGGCTCCAGGCAGGATAAAAACCAACCCAGAATGTTCAGCCTGCGTAGCCAAGGCACAAGTGGAGGATTTAGCTCCAGTGATCCTGTCCACAACTCCACCATGGAAAGACACGAAGCAGGTGTCAAGAAATGTTTGATGCCAATTCCTAACTAACTGTATTAGCCAGAAAACATAGCAGTCAAAGGGGAAACTTAAGCAGTGCGATAGTTCATTCTGTAATCCCAAAGAAAAGAGGTTTTTGGCTCTGGCATCCGAGCTCTGAGCCTTTCCCTTGATTTCAGCCAGCTTGGGGTCAGGCCCTTGTGTTTTGAAGGCATTCAGAGCTCCTTGTAAGTAGAAAGCAGCTCGGTTGGGTGAGAAGAACTGCCTTGTTGGGAGGAATTTTATCCGTTCTGGCAAAAATCAGCTCCATATCCGATATCCCTAAGCTTTTTTAATTACACTGTAATGGAGAAGGGGCCAGCAGTGTTTCGTAATTAAATCCTGATGCATCAGAGAGTAGATTTTGATACACAGGTGAACAACAAGAACCTCTATTTTACGTGTGGAACCTCTACATTTCATGTACAAATCTGCAATTTCTTGGCTGAAACTTGGCATTATTAAAAACAACTGATGTTGGGTAGCTTTGTAGATTGGGTTGGAAATTCCCAATGCTGAATGGATGCAATACCACCAGAGCACAGGGACAAGGTACGTCTGAGCCACTGTGATTGCACTGAGGTCCTCTCACCATAAAACCTGGAGGGGGTGGTGGTGGTCTTGAGAGCAAACCTCTGCTCAAATAGGATTCATTTGACACAAACCTAAAGGCGAGGGCTCCTGTGAGCCTCAGTCTGCTTTAGGAACACGTTTGGGTCACTCAGGGATAAGCAAAGCACCTTCATGCTGAGTCTGGACACTTGCCTGTCTCTGCAGAAAGCAGAGCTTTGGGCACCTGGTGTTCTTTGCAGTCCAAAGCCCTGAAAGAATAGTGATCTCTGAGAGAAGAGTCCAAAATCCACTCAAAGTCCCATTTTAGACGCTGAGGCAGATGCTCTGGGGTTTGGCAGCTTCTTCAAAGCCATACAAGCACACTGAGTTACAGACTGAGGACCAAGTCCTGGGATGAGACTCTCTTTCCCTCATGCTCCCACTCATGCTCTACTCAGCTGCCTTCCCTTGGCAATAATAGCAGCAGGGAAAGCAGATGGGCTCCACCCTGCAGACAGCCCCCAGAAATTGTCAGAAATACTCATTTTCCATAATTTTATTTACTTCCCCCCCACATCATTTATTATGGAGGAGGAGGACAACATCGAGGACGTTACTCTTTTTTTGTTGTTGTTGTTTAGGTTTGGGTTTCTTAAGCTTTGGGATGACAAGTTACTGTATGGCTTTATGCAAAGCCTATTGCACAGGTCAGATAAATACAATGAGGTGGTGCTGGATGTGATGCTGAGCCTCCAATTGATGTGCCAAGCTCAGCTTTTTTTCATTACACTGTGATTTCAATGCCATCCTTCCTCCTTATTTACTTATTTAATCATGCATTTTATTTCAGCACCTGATAAGATCTCAGGTTCCCCATGCTTTAGTACTATCAAAGCTACCTGTCCCCATAACTCTTTTCCTGGACCTGGTTCTATGTTTAGAGTTGTGTGCAGGCATAGGCTGACTGCAGAATGGTCTGTAAATGGAAAACCCAGGTGGTGGATCAGAGCATCTCCTCCTGGGACCAAACTTCTGTTTGTGCAACTATAGCTCAAACACAAAGATCCCAAATTTGGCTGCTCCAGAGCAGCTTCCAGACCAGGAGGAGTCCCTTGAAGATGTCACTCACCTGCACTTGCTGTGTTGATTTCCCACATGCAAACTGCATTCATACAGCTGGTTTTGTATGCCCATTAAATGAGTTTCTGGAGCAGAAGATTTATTTGGGTTTCTGATTTATTTCCACTTGAAGATTTCAGACTCTCCTCAGAAGAAAAAAGAAAAACAAAACAAAAACAAAAAAAAAAGAGGTTTGACTTTTTATTTTTAACAGAAGAATTTGGTTTGGGAATCAAGGACAGGTCTGGTTTTAGTAGAACAAACAGAAAACCATTTCTTATGATTTTTCAAATTAAAGCCAAACCACATCCCAAATTCTTCTACTGAAAAAAGGTCATTGCCATATTTATTTTTCACACAAATGCACGGGTGAAATGTCCTCTCCTTCCCCAACCAGTTGCAAAAACAGAGCTCCAAACTGAGCTGCTTTAATTTGCTAGCTTTCTTCTGTTGCCTTCATTTCTTCCTCTGCTCTATGTTGACCTCATTGTCAATCCTCCTCGGCTCACAGAATCATACAGGTTGCAAAATACCTTTAACATCACTCAGTCCAAGCCCAACCCATCCCACCATGCCCACTGACCATGTCCCCACATATCATGTCTCCACAGTTCTTGAACACCTCCAGGAACATTGTTTGACTCTACCACCTCCCTGGGCAGCCTTTGCCAATGCCTGACCGTTCTTTTGGAGAATATGTTTCCTAATATCCAACCTGGCCCCTCTTCTGGTGCAGCTTGAGGCCATCACATTTCATCCTATCACTGTTACCTGGGAGCAGAGGTCAACTCCAGTCCTGCTCCAACCTCTTTTCAAGGCATTGCAGAGAGTGATGAGGTCTCCACTAAGTCTTCACTTCTCCAGACTGAACCATCCCAGCCCATCCATCACATGCAATGATGAAATCTCTTTGCAGCCCCTGAAATCAGTCCTTTGCTCTCTCATCATCTCAATATCCACGTGTAGAAGCAGGGATGGAACATTTCTACTGCTAGTTGCAATAGTCACAGGACCTTCCCAGCGCTCCAGCCTCTGTTTCACGAAGGTCTCTCTCTTTGAAGGGAATTATTATTATTTTAATTATTACTATTTAATTATTAATTATTATTGGAATAAAAATCTGTCAGCTTCTGTCAGGCACAGAATTAAATCTAGGTGCAGAAATCCCAGATCACAGACAGCCAAAGGCATTCAAGGGTTGACATTTTTTTTTTCCCAGTGCTGGATGGAGCTCTGAGCACCCCGATCAAGCTGTAGGTGTTACTGTTCATTGTAGGGAGATGAACAAGATGGCCTTTAAAAGAACCTTCCAACTCAAATGATTCTATGGAAAATAAACCCTCTGAAAGCTTCCTTGCAGAGCTTTCCCCTGCACCAAAGCAAACACCAGAAAGCCTTTCAATGGGACACCTTTAATGGCAGCTTGGGCTCCTTTCCCCATCCACGTGCTTTATTTCATTTTTAAGGTGCAAGTACAGCTGAGGTCAGAAATCACCCAAGGCCAGGAGCACTAAGTACTGTACCATGTTCTGTGTTAATGCCATGCAGATTCACAATGCCGGGGGGAAGGCAGCATCCCCTAATCCTAAACTTGTCTGTCTGATGGGAATCTGAGAATCTGATGAGTCTGAGGCCAACATACAGCGATAGAATGCAGTGCTTGCCCCCCAGTCCTTAATTACAATACTGAGAGTGCTGACAGGGAGGAGAAAAGACCTCTGCATATCCACCTCTATGCCTTCCAGAGATAACCCGTCTCCTCTAGGGAAAAAAAAATAAAACCCACAAAACAATTGCAAAAACCACCACAAAAAACACAGCAAAACCACAATGTGCAGTGCTGGACCATAGGTTGGGTGACAACCTTCTTCTCCCAGAGTTAGAGGAAAGTTTGCCCCGTGCTGCCCTCTGTTTCCCCCCACAGGAATTGTGCCTTGGTTTATTTTTGGATATGCACAGAAATAAACACCTCTGCCCCCTCTCTGCTGCGATTAGCAGAGACGTGACGATAATGATTATTTGAGTTTCCTCAAACGAAGCAAGTATTCAATTACATTTTCATTCTTTGGAATGAAACTTAACCCAGTTTGTTTTCCGATAAGACCATATGGAGAGAGGACACAGCTGGTATTTTATCCAAATTAATATGTGTCCTGGCTCAAAAACAGGTCGTGTTTGTAATGAGCTCAATCTTCATATAATAACACTGTTGAAACAATAAACGTCACTTCAGCTCCAATTTGGTGTCTGGGTTGCGAGGCATAAAAACAGTTCTGCTCTGAACTGTCAGGGTGAAGGCTGGATAAACTCGGGAAAGTTCAGGTCAGGTGAAATTTCACACACGGAGACTATTATTGGAGCGAGCAGGCTGGAGAAGCTATTACAGGGAGCATGTGCATCACTTCTCTCCCCATGGACACGAGTCACAGCTGCTGTGCTGGTGACACGTCCTTGCTCCTGCAGGCAAATCAGTAACGGTGAGATGAGCCATGCATGGGGCTGGCAAAGCCAATAAAGTCAAAGCCCTGTGCTGGCCAGAGGTCTGCCACCAAGCATAGGAGCCAGCCTGGTGATGAGGACTGCAGTGGTTGTGTTTTCTTGTGGTCCATTCCATCACCACCAGACTTTCTCTCTCATAAAGGTGAAATCATTATGCACACCTACTCAAGGCTAATTGGCCCAGGCTGCAGTCCAGCCTGTTACCCCAGGAGAGGTTCAGGTTGGTTATTAGGAAACGTTTCTCCTCTGAAAGAAAGGTTAACATTGACAAAGGCTGCCCCAGGAGTGGTGGGGTCACCATCCCTTGAGGTGTTCCAGAACCATGGAAATGTGGCACTGAGGGACATGGTCAACTTCGTGCTCTCTTCCAACCTTAAGAATCATAAAATTGCTCAGGTCGGACAAGATCTTAAAGATCATTGAGCCCAACCACAACCTAACCATACTACCCTAACTGACAAGCATTGAGGGTTTTATGAGTGAAGCTTTTCTTCGAGCCACAGAAATATCTTCAAACAACCATGAGGTTGTTTTTTTTCCAAATTCTGCTTAAGACCTATACCCCAATTCCTGGTCTTGCCCCTCTATTTCAACCACAAACAAAACCTTGATCTTCTACCTATTGATAATCATTCTCTCTTAGCTTAAAAGTCTCTTTTATAAGCTAAGAAAATTCTACTTATTTCTATAATGGAGGGTCTCATCCAAGACCAGGATGGGTAGTTGCTGCCTAAATGACATACAAGCCCTGCCAAGATCTGAAGACTAGGTGTTCCTGCAACAGTCTTTCTGCCAAGGCTGGATTCAATCAACATTTTTATATACAGCAGGTCAAGCACTCAGAGACATCCAGAAGTGTCAGTATGGGGTATCTATGCTTATCAGTGCTCACAGCATTTGTTTAAGGAAGTAGGAAGCCTTAAGTCTCTTCTGGAAGGACTTTGTAGAACCACAGAACTAGTGGAATGTCTCCAGCATCTGTGGATTGGATCACATGGAAAGGTAAAACAAATCTCTGTCCCTCCTTGAACCCATTGCCCCCACCCCAGCTTATGGATAGCTAGTGTTGGTTCAGACCCTATCCTAAAATTACATGAGTCCAGTCAATATTCTGGAAAGCCCTTCTGCTCTATGAGTTAGTGCTCACGTGAAAGCTAAAGATCTCTGAGTGTTAGTTCAATAGAAATCAAACATTCCCAATGATTTCCAATGCTACAAGGGAGGGGGAGGATTCAGCACAACCATAGGCAACCATGTTGCTCTTCTCCTTAATGCTGTAGGAAAGAGTGAGGCTGGGCTGAGCTTTCCCTGAGAGCAGAAACCATCAGGAAGGACCTGAGGAGTGAATGTTTCCTGGATATCAATGAGAAGAGATTCCCTTTCTGGGAAAGAGATGGGAAGGAGCAGATCTGAGATCATTGCATTCTCAGGGGACCACTCACCCCAGGTCTGCACCAACACCTGTTTCCTTCCTACCTCACCCATCAATGAGACCTTTTCCACAGCCTGTGCTTCTCCAGCAGCAAGTGCAGGCATGCTTTTGGTTGCTTACCTCTGGGCTGCTGCAGACTGTAGAGCCTTTCCTGGACAGTTGCCTTTGAGTGCATGCATTGAAGAATCACAGACGCTCCTCCTGGAAGGTCCCAGTTCCCCAACACAACAACATATAATCTGTGTTGAAATCAAGACAGGGGACAGCTGCTTAAATAGCAGAACAGAACCAAGCAGGAAAGAAGAGAAACACAGGACATGCCCATAGCTGCAAAGCACCGCATGCCTCTTTATAACCCTGGTCTCAGTACAATTTCCTTAAGCCATCACCTCACAGCTGATGGCTGCTAATGCAAACAAGCTGTGCTTGACTGTCACAAGCCTACTTACTCCCAGAATCTGTAGCTTTTATACCTTGTCCCTTATTTATGGGGTAAGACTGGCAAAGATATTTATGAGGAAATCACCACTTTCTTCCTATTTCTGCCCATTGCTTTTTGTCTGGCAGAGGATGTGCAAACAACTCACCTGCACTTTTTTCTTCCCTGAATAAAAAGAATGATACCAACTTTCTGATACTGTTTGTCATTAAATACCATAAATGAGCCAATGGATCCCCAAGGAACTTGGGAGAATAGGTAGCATCCATCTGCTTAAATCTACTACTTCCAGTTTTCAGCAGCCCTTGTTATCCAAAATCATCCATTTATCATAGAATTGTAGAATATCCCAGGTTGATAGGAACCCAAAATGATCATTGAGTGCAGTTCTAAAAGGACAGCCCTGGCATTTTGGAGAGGACTGGGCCTGGCTGTGTGCAAACGAGGTCATACATAAATGAGAACTGGGGAGAAAAGAATATGGAGAGAGGAATGGCTAGGAAAAGGGAGGAATAAAATGCTGGTAAACCTAGTGGGGGCAATGGGAGGAAAGCACAGATGAACTTTGGGTAGTATGAATATGAAAATATTTAGTGTTGACTGTTTATGTATTTCTCCTTGTTTTCTTTTGTTCTTTATTTTTGTTTTGAAATAATTTCAAAGGCTCTTTATTTTTGTCCCAGAGTGGATGAATACCTGAGAGCTGTAGTGCTGTATTATTTTTGTTGTAGGGTTGGCTATGTCACTTGCTTTAAGGCTATTTTTAAGACAACAGCTACAGGAAAATTCAGTGCTGACAAGCAGGAATTAATATTATTTTTAAAGTTTTTAAAAATGTGTCCTAAAGTCTCCTATTCCTTGTGTTCTGAGTGCTGTCCAGATGCAACTGTCCAGTGTTTGATCCTCAGCTAGCAAGGGATGCTGAGGAACAAGCTCATCAGAGGACATGGCATGAGGCATTTTCATTCCAATTACCATTGAGAGTTGGGGTCAAGAGGGTGAAGAGGAAAGGAGAAGCTGTTGCTTGCAATGTCTTTCAACATCCATGCCCCTTCCAAGTGGGAGAGGATGATCTTTGGCTCCCAACCTCTAGAGCTCCACCATCAACCAGCAAATTCTGGGGGCTGTTTCTTGCCCCTCACTGCAAGAAAGATATTGAGGCCCTGGAACGTGTTCAAAGGAGGGCAACAAAGCTGGTGAGGGGTCTGGAACACAGGCCATATGAGGAGAGGCTGAAGGAGCTGGGAATGTTCAGCCTGGAGAAGAGGAGGCTCAGGGGAGACCTCATTGCTCTCTATAACTTCCTGAAGGGAGGTTGTGGTGAGCTGGGGGTCGGCCTCTTCTCTCGTGTCATCAGTGATAGGACCAGGGGGAATGGTTTCAAGCTACGGCAGGGGAGATTCAGGCTGGACATGAGGAAGTATTACTTTTCAGAAAGGGTGGTCAGGCACTGGAATGGATGCCCAGGGAGGTAGTGGATTCACCGAGCCTGGGGGTGTTCAAGGAAAGGCTGGATGTTGTGCTGAGGGACATGGTTTAGTGGGAGCTATTGGGAATAGGTGAACGGTTGGACTGGATGATCTTTCAGGTCTTTTCCAACCTTGGTGATTCTATGATTCTATGATTCTATGCTCCTCACACTGTGTCATCGCTGTGCTTCATGTGCTGGTTCTGGCTATTGTGCCTCCTTTCCAGGAGGATCACTGGGAACAAAGATTTACCCCTTTTGTAAACCAGTTTACAAGGGAATAACAGTCTGTCCCAGGAGCCATCTCCTGGCTGGGACTGGGTTCTTCCTTTCAACTTCGTGCTATGTAGTTTAGTTTGTTCCCAAACACACACAAAAAAACCTCCTTGGATATGGAAACTAATGTCTCAAACAATGCATTTCCAAGAATTTTTTTTTTTTTTTTTTGAAAGAGGAAATAGATGGCTTTTTTTTTTTTTTTTTCCTGTCTACTTCCTGTTTTCAAGTTCACACCTGTGAGTTCATTGGCTCCTCAAGACAACACGGAACATTTTTTATGGCTTTGAATAACTGGGAGCAATGCTGGCACACCACCTTGCCTTCTGCCTGCTCATCCCTCTGGGCTACCATGTCTGCTGCAACAAATGATTTCCTTTGGCTAAGCTGGAATATTTTCCTCAGCTTCTCCTACTTTGGTGATAAGCTGCTCTCTGGAGTGTAGAGGTGGAGGCAGTTTTCCAAGAATACTTTCTCTGGAGCTGAGCCCTGTTCAGACACCAAGTGGAGGAATGCATGTTCATGACTCCATTCCCCTCAAGGGCTTTCACTGCTTTGTGTATGGTTAGAGAAAGAGAGAAGTTTGGCATGCTTTTGGCAGAAATTTCCTATTGAATCGTGTCCCCCTTTCAAAAGATACATAAATGAGAAATAAACTTTTGGTTGAAATGAATGTTTTGGCAAGAAGTGTCTGCAGCAAAAACGTTCGTGTTTTTGTTATAATCACCCAATTTGGGGGTTTAGTTACTTACAAAACCTCTCTTTTGTTGTTTTAATTCATATTCAGAAAGACAAAGGTTTTCCTCCTCTCTCCATTTTGACAAATTAGTGTCAACTTTTGCAATCATAAATATGTTTCATAAGGGAGGAGTGATTCCCGAAAAGGCCCTGTGAGGTGTCCAGCAAACACAGAGCTTGACGTGAAAAAGCTGCCCCTAACATCAATCCTTGTCCTCATCAGGAGGCAAAAAGAAGGGATGTCTTCTGGTTCCTCATTCAGGGTTTTGCACGTAAGACTTTCTCCCTTAATAATTCATTTAAACATCACAGTAACTGAGAGGCCTCTGAAAAGTGTTGCTGTACATCACCATGCACACTAAGGTCATCATCGTGGTGGTGCCTGACAAATGTCTGCTGGAAACATTCTCACAGGCTAGGGTTTAATTGCAGGAGAGGTTCAGATTGGATGTTAGGAAGCATTGCTTCTCAGATGGAGCAGTCAGGCACTGGCACAGCTGCCCATGCAGGTGGTAGGATCGCCATCCACGGAGGTGTTCAAGGACCATGGAGATGTGGCACTGAGGGATGTGGTCAGTAGGTATGGTGGGATGGGTTGGGGTTGGACTGGATCATCTTAGAGGTCTTTTCCAACTTCAGTGCCTCTGTGATTCTAAGAATTTCATGCACAGCAAAAATCCTTGAGCTGAAGTGAAAGGCTCCCCATCTATCTAACTGAGGTGTCCTCCTTTGCTTCATAACCTGTTTTGTCCCAGTGACAGAGTTGCAGCTCTCAGCTCTGTGACTGTTGAACTGGAATCCATCCAGGTAATCCCCTGACATGTTCCCAGAATGACCCCTCATCCTTCGGGGAGGGATGCAGTGGAAAAAGCAGAAAGAAGGCAGACACCAAAACCTCTCTGCTGTTCAGACTGATAACTTCAGCCACGTCCAAAGGCAAAGCATTGGTTCCAGCACAGCTCTGTGACATTTGTAGATCTTCAGAATAATAACTCAGAAGCTTTCAAACACTATGAGAAAGACAAAGGAATATAAAAATCATTTTTGTAAATACCTTCTAATAGTTTTCTGCGTGGAGTGTGAGTTAGTTGATTCAGAGATTATCAGAGTCAGAGAATTATTGTTTTAGCTAGAAGCCAATGCCAACTATTAAAAGGCTGCAAACTTGTATGGTGGCTAGTGTGAAGTCACAGAACTCATTTTGTACACCTGTGTAGCTCAAAAATTAAATGTATGGAGGTTCCACTGTTAATCTTGAATAAATGCAACAAGGCGCTGTAAATCAGCCCCACTTATTTTCGTGGACAGGCTCTGGGAGGAAGGCAAATAGTCTCTGTATGTAATACCCCATACATGCCTGGAAAACAGGCCAGTCCACATGAAATCAATTGTTTAATTAAAGACATGCCGCTGTGATTTTTCTGTGCTAAAAACCATAGCAACTGTAACTGTGAAGGCACTCAGTATCTCAACAATTGTTCTTTCTTTGTAATGAATGCACGTCTGCTGCTAATCTGATCTTGGCATCCCACGAGGGTGGATATGATACCTGCCCTGAAGTATTCAGGGTGCACTGTCAAATGTCAGGCAGTGGCCCTTCCATCGTGTGCCTTGGGGAGACTGAATCATAGGCCAGTGGATCATCTGACATTTCTAAAAGTGCTGGGCTATTCATCTCCCCTGGTGGAGAACTGCAAAGAGCACAAGGTCACTGCAGTCTCTTGCTTCTCCTTGGCTGCATGTAGTTATTCTGCCCACCCATTAGACTTTTTCAGTGCACGCCTGTGCTAGCAAGGTGTCAAAGTAGGACCTCACTTCTTGGATACCATCATGTTGCAATATAGCAGCAAGGCCAAGGTGGCTGGAGCTGAAAGCCGAGTGCAAACTGGAGTTAAACAGGGAAAAGACAGGAGGGGAGAGCAGTTTTTCCCCATGCTCTTGTCCTCTTGCCCATTTCAAGCTCTTCCAGTTAGGAAAGAAAACAGAGCTGCTTCACCTTCTCCAGTCTGCGTGGAGCCCAAATCTCCCTTAGAATGTCATAAGGAAGATGGAATGGTGGTAACCAACACAATGCTGATATTTGAAGCCTGGTGGGCAGAAATCTCCATTGCTGTTACATTTATCAGAGAATGGCAGGGGATTTGTATCTTAAAAAATGCACGTACCACCAGTCTTCATTGCAACATTCACCACACAAGAGCCACTTAGAATCCGGCCCAAACTTTGTTGGTTTTTTTTTTTCCTTTCTACTGTTTCCAGAGCAAAAAGTTCACTTAAAATTCTTTCTTTCTGTGTCTCATTCTCTCTCCCTCTCTCCTCTCTTTCGCTCTCAAATTCTGATTGCTTCCTTTACACATCCATTTCATGACAAGCTTGTTTGTTGTTTTTGGCTACT